AAAGCTGGGAGGGGATATTTTTAAAGAACTGGTGATCTTTTTGCTATCTGTGGAGGCAGACCTCACCCAAATCCCGTAAGTGATTGCCCCAGACTCTCCCTCTGTTTTCTTTAGCTCCCAGCTAATAGAACCCATGGGAGATGTCACCCATACTCAATGCCGTGCTGATCTCTATGCTATCTTGGTCAGAGACCATACTAGATTCTAGGCCTTTTAGCTACAGAACCACCCTCATGGTCATATGTACTTTGCAAAGGAGTTTGTAGATAGTCACACCTCAAGCTTTATTGTGCATCTGGAATTGGAATGATTGTTACCCAGAAAGCTGGAATGGAAATGTTTATTGCCCTGAAACTGTTTCCCAAATTGCACTGTCCTTGAAATATGCTGACAGTAAACTGCAGGCATCAGACTCCTCACAGCATGATCCAGGTTGACCAAATCAATCTGAACTGAGTCTTCATTCTCACCTCATCATGGTTTGTTTCCCTGCCTGACGACACCCCTCCCCCCTTGCCCTCCCTGTGGCAAATACCTTCAGAGGGTTGGCTCTGTTGGTGATGTTCCTCAGCTCTGTGTGCTGCTTGCTGTTGCATGTACAGATGGCCCATCAAACCAGGGAGAGTGGGGTACTCAGGCCTGGGAGCAGGCCGAGAGAAGCAGGCATTCCCCAGGCTGACTCTGGGCTTTGTCATGATAAAGTGGCCTTGAACTCACTAGTCAGCCAAAGAAGGTCTTGTGATCCTCCTACCCCCACCTTCTGAGTGTTGGTTTTACTGGCATGTGCCATAATTCCAGTTTTATACCCAGACTTAGGTGTGTGTGATTGAGCACTCTACTGACTTTCTTGTATCACCAGTGATCTTAACAGTATCTTACAGGTTTTGTGAAATTTGTTTTTATTCATATAATTGTATATACGTTTGGTGTGTGAGATACATACATGTGTGTGCGCGTGTGCGCGCGCGCGCGCGCGCACGCACACACACACACCCACGCACAGACACACACAGAGCACTTGAAATTGAGCCTATGCCATAGCTACATTCCAAGGACAACTTTCAAGAATTCCTTCCACAGTGGACTTCAGGGTTCAAGCTCAGATCAGGCTTACGCAGCAAGTGCTCTGATCACTATACCATTTCACAGGCTCTGGATTTTTCTTTTTCTTTAGACAGGGTTCTCTGTGTAGTCCTGGCTACCCTGGAAGTTACTCTGTAGACTGGAACTCACAGGGATCCACCTGCCTCTGCTGGGATTAAAGGTATGTGTTACCATCTTGAGGCTTTGGATTCTTTTTAAAGACAGGGTTTCATGGAGCCCAGGCTAGCCTCCAAACTCACTAGGTACCTGAGAATGGCCTTGAACTCCAGATCCTCCAGCTTTTACCTCCATATGAATGGGATTATGGACATGTACCGCCAAGCCTGGCTCCATATATTTGTGTTTCTTTCTACTTCTTTAATGTTTTCTTGTCTCTTCAGAGCTTCCATCTCATGTCTAATCCACATTTGAATTCTGAAGCTTTGCGCTTCTGTCTCCTTGGGGCTTTTCTGCTCTTCAGCCTTTCCGGCCACCCAGGATTCAACAAAACGAGAAGGTGGAGTGGCTTTCCCTGTAGGCAGGTGCGTAGATTTTTATCACAAAGGACTCACCTGTGCCACTGCATCAGATAAGCACTGCCCAGAGCCTCCAGTGGCCACAGGCAGTCAGAAAAGGGAAGCAAGAAGCTAAATGTGATAGTGTAATCTCTTATCTGCCTGAAAGTCAGGGCTGAAGTTCAGCGGCAACAGTCCACAGAATTGACCTCAGCCAGAGAGAAGCCTAGAGAAAATGTTTACACTGATAACAGACAAGAACTGTGGCCCAAACATTAGTGGTGTGTGCCGGGCTGATCCTAATACAGCAACTGTAAGGCACCGTGTGAATTCTGTGAATTCCACATCGCAAACTACAGGAAACTTCCTGTGTTGCTGAGATTTCCCTAGCTCAGGTTTCTAAACCCCTCTTAGCTGTCGCTGGGCATACCTTCATCTGTACCTCAGAACTGCTTCCCAAAGTGGACACAGTCCATTCTCCTCTAATCCCCGGGCATTTGCAGCTAATGGGGTGGCATAACATTTTTTGGGAGTTTGGCCAGGTGTAGTATATTGGAGAAAAGGGTTAGATTAAATCTCATGGCTGTTCTTAAACAGCTTCCTTGGCTGCAGAGATGGCTCAGTGGTTAAGAGCACTTGCTGCTCTTCCAGGGGACCAGGGTTGGGTTCCCGGCATCTACACAGTGGTTCACGACCATTCTTACCTCCAGTTGCAGGGAATCCAATGCCTTCTTTTGACTTCTGTGGGAACCAGGTACACACATGGTACACATACATGCATTCATACACATAAAATAAAAACATCTCAAACAAATAAAAAGGGAGCTTCGACAATGTTCCGCCTACAAAGGTTTTTGTGTTTTTAAATTAGTTATGTATGGATATTTGCCCACATGAGTGAGTTTATGTGCACCGCAGGCATGCAGTGCCCCAGGAGACCAGAAGAGAGCCTCAGATTAGGAACCGGGGGCAGGGACACAGGTGGCGTGAGCTATGTGGCTGCTGGGGGCTCTGCACGGGCAGCAAGGAGCATCTCTCCAGCCCCCTACTATTCGGGTTTGCTTCTTTTTGTTTGATTGATTTTTTTGTTTTGTTTTTTAATTGAGCTCTTACTATGTATTTCAGGCTGGCCTCCAAGTGATGATCCTCCTACCTCCACCTTTCCAGTGCTGAAGCCACAGTGTCTGCCTGAGTGGGCTTTAGCTTCATGTTCCTTTTCTTTGGTTCTTCCTCATCCCAAACTCCTGCTCGTTCCTCAGAGTCTTTTGGCATCTTTTGTTTTTTCCTCCCAATCCCTGTTTTCACCCCTAACCTATCACGGAATTTTTCCTAAACAAAGACGCTTCCTTCCCTAAGAGGAACTCTGGTGTCAGCTGATAAAATAGTAACTTGTCTTATCTCTCCCATCTGCAATGAGGTTGCCAAGTTGTAATTGCTCTCTGGCCCTCTGACTTTTCTGACTTTTCTGGGACTGCTGGCTGATGGTTAGAATGACACTCCTTATGGCTTGTTCAGCAGCCAGCAGCTCCGTGGAGCTCTCACATTCGGGAAGGCTGGGTAGCTCCGGCTAACACATGTTGCTTTATTATTTATTTTTTAGTTTCCTGGCTGGCCTTGCATTCGTGGTAACACACCTGCCATGGCTTCCCCAGTGCTGGGACTACAGGACCCATCACTGGTTTTTTTTTGTTGTTTGTTTTTTTATCTTTCTTTGGTTAATTTTTAAATAAGTTATTTAATTTTTATTTTATGTGCATTAGGGTAAAGGTGTCAGACAGTTGTGAGCTGCCATGTAGGTGCTGGGAATCGAACTTGGGTCCTTTGGAAGAGCAGTCGGCGCCCTTAACCACTGAGCCATCTCTCCAGCCCTCTTTTGTTATCTTTGAGACAGGATCTCAAGTAGCTCAAGAAGGCCTCAAACTCAATATGTAGCTGAGGCCACCCCCGAATTCCTAATATCCTTGCTTTTGCCTCCTCCCAGCCCCCAGTGCTGGAATCACAGGCTTGTGCCACTATGCCTCATTCATGCAGTACTGTAGCCCATTTTATGAAGAGCTAGAACCTAAACCCAGATCTCAGGTCAGTCAGTTCACTCCGTAACAGTCAGTTGTTTACATTTTAGGAAAATGGAAAATGTCCCTCGCAAGTCTAGCCAGTGTCTTTGAGGGTGAACTTGCTGACCCTGTAAGGAAGGCCCAAGGATATAGGGGCTAATTGACAGACAGCTTTTATAGAAGTGCACAAGGAAAAGACAGCTGTCAGCGAGCCTGCTTCTTTTTCTCAGTGTGGAATGTTATCTCCTGAGATAACCATCTCCGGCTGTCAGGAAGGGGCCGCTGGGGAGGGCTCCTGTACACCTCCGCACTGAAGCCAGGACCACTGCCTCCCAAAGCTTCCTCTCTGCCCTGTCCTGCTTTTCCACCAGCTTCATGCAGACCTGAGCCTCTTCAAGGCCTCGTTCCTACTAGCAAGAATGGCCTGGGAAGCCATCCCTGATGGCAGGCATGGTGGCATTCTCCCGGAAACCTTGTTGACAGTTTCTGCTTGGCACTGTTAGCCTCTTCTAGGCAAAAGGCCGCCAAACCCCGTTGATTGTGAAACGTACTCTCCCTCACCTCCCCACCTTGCCTCTCTTAAAACACACACTGTAAAAAGTATTTCTGATCTCATTGGCTGGTGGGGTGCACTGAAACCTCTCAGGGTTGGACGGAGCCCTGGCTCAGTGCGGGAAGTGTTTGTGGGGTGAGCCTGATGACTAGGGTTTGGATCCATGAAAGCCATGTAGAAGTTGGACAATCTGGAATCCCTGCCTGACTTTGGCCAGGCTGGGGCTCAACAGGAGACAGCTGGACATGCTCTCTGGCCAGACAGTCTGGAGTGAAACCTCCCTAGCTTCTCCAGGCCTGTAGAGTAACTTCTCAGCAGCTTGCCAGCCTTCCTCTTGGCTTCAGCCATGCCCGGCTCATTTGTGCCAGCTGTCGTTCCCAGTGACTTCAGGCACGCTGTTTGTTCTCTGTGGGAGAGGGGTCGGTTCTCTTGCCCTCGGCAGTGACTGCTCTGGTGCATACTCATTGGATGGAGGGCCCTTCCTCACCTGCATCTCTTGCTGAACCAGCCATGTGTCTCAGGGTCCTGTCCTCCCCTGGGGACAGGGTCTCAGATATCCCAGGTTGGTCTCGCATCCCTCAAAGCTGAGGGTGACCTTAACCTGTTGATCCTCTGGTCTGTCGCTCCCGATTACAGGCATGCACCACCAAGCCTGGCTTTTTAGTCTGCTCTGTGCCACCTGCATCTACTGCAGATGTTGACTGAAAATAGCAAAAGAACATTGTTCTCTAGTTTTGTATCATCATTTGCCCTAGGGTTTCTGTTACTGTGGAGACACCATGACCACAGCAACTCTTACAAAGGAAAACATTTATCTGGGGCTGGCTTATAGTTTAGAGGTTTAGTTCATTATCATCGTCATGGCAGGAAGCACGGTGGCATGCAGGCAGACATGGTGCTGGAGATTTGCTGGGAGCTCTACATCTGGATCAGCAGACAGCATGAAGAGCAAGTAAGCCACGGGGTCTGGCTGGAGCTTCTGAATCCTCAAAGCCCAGCCCTAGTGAAGTACCTCCTCTTCCAAAGGTATACCTATTTTACCAAGGCCATTTGTCCCAATCCTTTCAAACAATGCTACTCCTTATAAGCCTATGGAGACCACGTAATTCAAACCACCATCAGTAATTAACTCCCTGAAGTCTGTATGGTCTTATTCCCTTTGACCATTTCAATGATGCATTGCATATGTATGGTGAGAGGAGGTGGTGAGTGTAGGCTTTGGAAATAATCACAGTTGTTGATTCCATAGTTCCTGAGGCGCCAGCACACCGACATTTCTTCCTTTCTCCTCTCTCTCTTTCCTTAAAAAAAAAAAAAAAGACAAATGAACATTACCATACAGGTTATGCAATGCTGGGGATCAAACCCAGGCCTTTGTGATGCTGGGCAAACCACTTTACCAACTGAGCTACACTCCCCACCCCGCCAGGCCTGATGAACAGATTTTTAGCTGGTAGGAGCAAATCAACAAATAGTCATTACTCAACTCTTAGTTGTCTGAACAGATTTCAAAAGTCCATGGCTGATAGCTCGGGGGGTGTGGGGGGGGGACAAGCCTGTACTCTAATGGCTCAGAGGTTAAGAACACTTGCTGTTCTTCCAAAGGTCCTGAGTTCAATTCCCAGCAACCACATGGTAACTCATAACCATCTATACTGAAATCTGGTGTGTAGGCAGAATGCTGTATAAACAGTAAATTAAAAAAATTTTTTTTTTTAAGGTGGAGGTAGAAAAGGCCAGGAGCTCCATCTTCGGCTCTGTGTTGACTGGGAGGCCAGCTCATACTGGAGACAGTCTAAACATGAAAACAAAAACAAGTTCATGGCTGAGACAAGATGCAATAGACTTGAAAGCAAGGCTTCTGACTTGGAAAAAAAAGGGCTTATTGCAAGGGAAAGGAGGCCATAGGCCTTATGCTACAAAGAGTGGGCTGAGAGGCTAGAAGATACAGTCAGTGCTCCCCACTCTAAAGACAAGAGAGGGAGGGGGTTAGTGGGCAGAAGAGGCTGAGACCATAGAGCAAAGCAATGTACATTAAAAAGACCCAGGAACAGGTTAGAGGATGGCTTCTCTTCAGAGGATCCAGGTTTAGTGGCTCACAACCATCTGTACCTCAGACCAAGGAGATCTGACACCCTCTTTTGGCATCACTGGGCACTGCAGGCTTGTGGTGCAGAGCCGTACATTAAGGCAAACATAAACAAACAAATAAATACTCAGGCCACTCCAGGTGTGGTGGTGCAAACCTGTGAACCCAACACTTGGGAACTCACAAAAGAGCCTGCAGACAGAGGATCATTAGTTTGAGACTAGCCTGGACTACCTAGCAAGATCCTGTCTCAAAAAACCAAGGACTGAAAGTTATGCCTGGGAGGTGGAGGCAGGAGGATCAGTTCAAGGGCAGTCTAGGTTATAAAGTAAATTCAAGGTCAGTCTGGGTTTTATGAGACACTGTCTCCAATAACAGCAAAACAAATCAAACCCCCTCCCCTGAAAATCAATTGTGTGCCGTAGAAAAATGTAGATTTTTGTTTAAAACAAGAAGTATGTCAATGTCTGTAGAAGTGCATGGAACTTGTGTGTGCGTGTGTCCACACAGGCCAGAGAGGTTGTCCTTGAAGCTGAAGTTGGAGCCAGTTGTGAGCCATGAGACAGGGATGCTGTTCTGCTAAGAACAGAACTGGCATCCTTTCCAAGAGCATTGGCCACTGAGCCATCTCTCCAGGCTCACAGGCTGTCTGTCCCCCTCCTGCCCCACCTCTCAGTCCTCGCACACATATTATGCACACACACGTAAGTTACATGTCACGTGCAGTCTCTGTATGAATTAAACACTGCACTGCTCTCGCCGAGACCAACCCCAGTCTTTCTTCTTCCTCAGCTCCAGCACGCAGGAGAGTTTAGGGTGCTGGAGGACATTTGAGGAGCATCTGACCAAAGAAATTTTTAACGAAAACGTCTCCAAAACCCAGGAGGCAAAGTAAAAGAACTTACTATTTTTAAAAGTGATTTTGTGGGGAACTGTGAATTTCAGGCGTCCTAAGTGGATGGAGGATAGTGTTAGGCAGGGAGGTATGAGGGACACTCTAATCGGACTTCCCGGAAGCTCCAAGGGGCAGCCCCGGTCGGTCAGCGGTCAGCGATTGGAGTAGCCAGCAGGATTTGGATGCAGCTCAGTTGCTAGGGTGCTTGTCTAGCAGGAAGCCCTCGGAGCGGATCTCCACCACGTCCTAAGTCGGGTGTGGATGATGATCTCAGCACCAGGAGGGTGGAGGCAGGGGGATCAGCAGTCAGTCACCTTCAGCCACCGTTTGAGTTCAAGGGCACTTTGTGCTCCAAGAAATCCTGCACCCCTGTCTCTCAGAAGCAGAAAAAAAAGTACTTGGCAAATATTTTACTTCTGATCTAAAGGGCAGAGAGAAGTCTGCGATTTTCTGAGACTGTTCCCTTCTCCTTTGGGTATCTTAGCATTTGCTGAGCTCCATGGTGTGTCCCCTTTGATAGAAGGGATCTTCTCATCTCATCTCTAGTTGCACTCCGGAACTGTGCCCTCTCTCTCCCTCAGTCAAGGTCAATTCCACAGCTCAACACACTCTCTCACCATTAACCAGGCCACTAGCCCCCAGCTGGACCTGTTGTCGCTGCTTGACCGATGCCCTTCCACCCCCTCCGGCCCAAGCAGCACACTAGGATAGATCCACTCCAGGACCTTCCTCGGCTTCTCACCCCAGAGGAGGCTCCGCCTTCACCTCTGGCCCTGCGTTTTCCCGGGCGGGATGCAGGGAGCTGAGGAGAATGGCTTCTGTTTCTCTCAACAGCAGCTTCCTGGAGATTGCGTAGGCTGCAGCTGGCGCGCTCCAGGACTGGTCTGGGCGGTGACCCGCAGCTGCTAGGGTCTGCCCTTGACCCCTGGCTCCTCCTATCAGATCCTTTCTTCCTTTCTGCCCTCCTCTTCTTCCCTCCCCCCTGCCCCGCTCTCACCCAAACCCCGGGGAACTGCGGACTCTGGGCAGAAAGGGCCCCTCCCTGTCATTGTCCCTGTGGGAACTTTGCTCAAGGTCACCGAGCAGGTCAGATCCGTGCTGGGACAGGAAGCCAGCCTCAGTCTCGTTCCAGCTCGCAGGCATGCAGGCGTGCAGCCCGCAATGACAGCAGAATCTGCGGAAGGGGAAGGAGAGCGCCCTCCTCTGGCCGTTCTCAGGACGCCATCCTCCAGGGCTAGGAGCCTCCGGACCCCTGGAGAGCCTCCACTCACCCACGCCTGGGTGGTTCAGATCCTGGCTGGCCCGAGTGCCTGCTTCACCAGGAGGCCCTGATGGTCTGTGTTTGGGTCTATTCATTCAGGGGTAGAATGGGAGATGGAGAAGGCATCCAGCTCAGAACAGTCTCATAGGAAGGCTGTCATCTGCCACCTGCTGGCTAGGTTCAAGTTTCTAGCAAATTCTTCCTAGTCTTTGCATTTTGGGGTGACCTTGATATCTAAGATCTGTGTCTTCAGGCCCCTCTCCCCTCCTCAGGTGCTATTAGTGGTTAACATCGTGTGTGTGTGTGTGTGTGTGTGTGTGTGTGTGTGTGTGTGTGTGT